CCCCCCCCCAAAGGATGTCTACACAATGCATTTTTTGTTTGTGCGTCTTACCAAAGACTATAATCATGCCCAGGGGCTTCAACAAACTATAGCCTTTTTGGGTGTCAGAGCCACCAAGGGGGTCGAGGACGATGTCCACACCTGCAGAGACAGAAATAAAAGGGCAAAGCTTTGTAAATTTCTAGATAACAGAACATGACAATGTTCAACACAACGAAAACATGAGAGGCAAGGATTTCCATTTGTGCAGTAGTAAAACAAGAGTATTTTTTTTACCCTTCGGGCTGATTTTGCGGATTTCCTCCACGTAGTCTTTGGTGCGGTAGTCGATGGGGTGAGTTACCCCGCCTTGGGTAATAGTCTCATGTTTGGAAGCCGACGCCGTGCCAAAAACAGTCACATCCTGCACAGTTTGACACAGCTGGGTAGCAGCAATACCCACACCACCTACAGATGTGCAGACAGCAGCAAAGACCGGCATGAGAACAGGAGGAGCAGGTGTTTCACTTTCAGCAAAAGAGGTTATGTGCGGTCTCTCTCTGAACCACTCAGCAATTTTCTCAAACATTCAAACTATGCTTGCTTTGAATGTTGAGTTAGTACTCAACCAGGCTCCTAGTAAATACATTTTAAGGGGAAATTTAAATGACGATACTGTTGTTACCAAGCAACTGTAGTGAGCTTTTTACAAATCTAATGACTAATGATTGAGACAAAACACTTTACAAGATATCAACTTTGCCCATCTGAATTTGTGTAATCAGTTAATATTTGCATTTGATAAAAAGATAAACCATGAGAAGACCGGTAGATTCCATTCTTCACATGTGGAAAGTTCTGCATCTGTTGTATAACTCGTTTCGACCTTTTACACGTTTTGGCTTAAATGTCATGTATGCGCTGTAAATAAAATGCTAAGTGGTTAAGAGCCAGACTGTACATCAATATGTAGGTGTCGTTTCTACAGCAGCATAAGTAATGCTGCTCCAGGACCATGACTGCAGCTGATAAATGTCATGGCTTTGCAACCTAAGGGTAAAGGTCACGAATGGGAGACATTTGTCATTCTAACACCTGTTCAATGTTTTGTCCATTTTGACTCAAATTATTATGTTGTCCTTAAAACTAACCAAAGTAACACACACACACACACACGAAAAAGAAGAAAAGAAAAAAGTTACACTTCAAAAATTACAGACCGTCTCACACAGGACACCAGAGTCTCCTGGGTGTCTGTTTTGCATTAGGCCCTCTCATTCATCACAACCTTTTCCAGGCCTTGATCCTCTTCATAAGACTTCTCTCTACCAGAAGAGCTTTCAACAAATGTTGAATGGAGCTTCCGAGTTTGAAGTCAAAGCACAAGTGCTTTAAATAGGCATTCGTTTAAATGGTCAGGAGGGAGCGATACTCGAAAATCTCAGTACAGTCTCACTCCTTGCAGCCAGAGATGTGACCTTAATGTTAACTTGTGCACCATTTTGGGCCTAAAAATCATAGTGACATTGTAGGATCAAGGAATAAAGGCCTACAGACCAAGCCACAACAATAGGTCATGAGTAGGAATGGGAATCAAGACCCGATAGCTCAATTCCTTTTAATTATTCCGTTGTATTCTACTCTATTGCCTGTCAATTACGCTCATCGGTTCTGCTTCCACTTGTGCTAAAATCAGTTGATTTCAGTTCGTAGAGGAGGAAAATAGTGACGCAGTCTGCAGCGTGGATATAACTTTAATTTTTTACTGCACAGTGAAACGACTGTATTATGCTATTATGACAACAACTTCAGCACAATGAGAGCATGCTAACGCTAAGCTAGCCAAGAACCCAGAGTGAAGTTGGGTTGACTGGATGCTGACCCCAGCCCAGCAGCCAGACCCTGAACTTCACCAAGCAGTCAGGCTGCAGCTTGCATTTCTACTGGGTCACGTTTCTAAAGTAAAATCACTGCTTTAGTTAAAAAGCATTTCCCAAGTGGTTGCTAGACGTTGATGAAGTTAATGGGAAAATGATTATTTAAACCCCAGTTGCACAGGCCTACAGACTGGTCAGTGACCCCTCAGACTGGTTTTCAACCAGTTGGGAAATACATTTTTCCTCTAGTAACTGGTGATTGAATCACATCATACTAAGGACAACTCTTGAGCAAAGAGGTGATGAGAAATGAATAAAAGGTCTATGGGAAAATTATCCAAGTAAAAATGTTAGTTGAGTTCGTTTCTTATCAAAATATTACCACTGAAGTCACATTTACTTCTTAATTAAATTATGATCCTCATTAGATTTAAATTGGCAATAAATTAATGCTTTAAGGTGGAGTCATCACAATACTGATTAGTCAGCGATTGTTTTGGAGCAACATTATTTATGATTTGGTAGGAAATACACCAGCATGGGCCGGTATTAAATCGGAGCTGGTCAGATTATTACTGCGTCATCGCCTCACCTTTCCCCCTAATGTCCTCTCGCTCTCCACATCGCACCCAATTCCACGGAGAGCCTAATTTAGAGATGCGACTTAGGCTACGTCCACACGTACCCGGGTATTTTTGAAAACGCAGATTTTTCTATGCGTTTGCACCTTTCGTCCACACGCAAACGGCGTGTTTGGTCACTGAAAACGAAGATTTTTAAAAACTCCGTCCAGGGTGGATATTTTTGAAAACTCCGTTTTTGCATTTAGGTGCAGCGTCAAAGGTGTGCGCATTTTTTGACGTCACACTGTGCGCCACGTTATCGTTTCGGTGAAATGAATTTCTACAATACTGTTACTTCTACTCTCTGCAGTGTTTAAATGCTTACATACACACAGTTACTGTCCCTCCACACATACCACTCGGTTCTGCTTCTATGCCCCAGCTTTGTTTACTTTTTCCCCACCGAGGCTTCTAGACTTCTGATTGGCCAACATTTCTGCACGGTTAGGAATATATCGCCACCTGCTGCTTTGGCATGTTCATAGCAGCGTTTCCCTTCATTTCTGCCTTTACGTGTGGACGGGATTATTTTTTTAAACGAAAAATCTCAGTTTTCAAAAATACCCGTGTACGTGTGGACGTAGCCTTAGAGGGTGGAAACCTCAGAAGACAGGTGAACAAAAGGCGACATAGAAAGCAGTGCTTTCTGATCTCTGTGGCCCATTTCCACTTAACAGTGAAAGGCTTTTGAAGATGATGACCGCCTGGGCCTGCAGGTTCACCAGTAATCCTTTCTGCCCTCATGATTCACACAGGTCAGCTGACACCCATTCACCCACTCAACAGTGATGAGCAGCCTTTGAGAGGGAGGATGCAGAGGAGCAACTGAGCAACACAGTAACTGTCCTGTACTCTTCGACTCAGTGTAGGGGGATCAAACGCACAGATATTTGTGCTGCTGTGACAACACAACGTAAAATCTTTGAATTCAAACTGAATAAAGTGCAAAGCTAAACACACACACTTCCTCAATTCTCTCAGCTCTAACTGGATTATACCACATGCTCATAACTATCACAGTTATATTATCAGCTGTTTCACAAGTTAAAGATATTTTCAGTAACGATGTTAAAAATGTCATCACAGCCTCATAGCTGAAGGTGTCAACTGCACATGCACTGCAAACTTTTAGTTTTCCTAATAAGAGTGTGGTGATCTCCATTTGATCAAAGGCAGAAGTGAAATGTCACACTAGCTGACCCTATAACTGTGACATACAGCTAAGAAAGGCCTTGGTTTATAACTCCTGGACATGCACACTCATTACAGATGGTTTTGTGTAAGAAATTTGCATTTGAGAAGTGTTGCCCAAGCAACCATTTGTGATAATAATCCAGTTTTGTATGAAGATGTTTTGACATAACACACCTCTTCACTGCTGATTTTAAGTCTTTTAGCTGATAATCCTTGAGCACAGAAATGCAGCTGCATTCAAAGAGCTGATTAGCAGGAGGGAGCGTGCTGTGCGACTCTTTACACGTTACCCAGGAGACTGACAGAAGGTTTGTTACACCTTCTAATTAACTGATAACGAGAGTAGTCTTGTCGCACAACATTGGGGATGCCACTGAGCTAGTCTGAGGAGATCCTTCATTATCTATTCCTCAAACTAATTTTCACACTAAGGCTATGCGTACGATTATAAAAATAATCAATTAACTGAGTAATGATTTGATGTAACAAACAAAAACTGGGTCATTTGATAATTTTAGGATACACATCAAAACAGTGTTTATCATCTTACACCAGGGTGCAACCGCTGTTTCAGCTCCTCACCACGTAATGTGCAATTTATACTTATGCACTGTGTGGACTCTATGGTGTCGCCTGCACGAGTGGACGTCACTATTCTCAGCATTTATAGAGCCTCTGTTGCTGTGCAATCTCACATGTGAGAAACGAAGAAGAATAAAAACAAAAACTCCTCACTAATTTTATTTGGAAATTATTTTCAGGCGTCTCCACGAGTCTTACCTGCTGCCATGTGTATAAGAACGCTTTTGCCCGGCCTAAGATTGGCCATCTCAAACAGCATCATGTAGGCGGTCATGTAGTTAATAGTTAAAGCAGCACCTTCCTCAAAACTCATCTCCTCGGGCATAAGGAAGGTGCGGTCAGCACTCACGACAGCTACTTCCTGCCACATGCCGCTGCGGGCCAATGCGATGACACGATCGCCAACCTGAGGGAAGGAAAGAGGGGGACAGGGAGAAGGTGTTGTGAAGTCAAACTAAAACACAGACGTTCACAGCTGTGGAATGATGCATTTCTTCATATCAACTTAATACGGGAAGCTTAAAAGTTTGATTTAACAAAATTATAAATCAGTAAACACAAATTACACCTGATGCTAATCTGAAAGTAAAAAACAAAAGTGGGGAAGTTAAATTAGTGCTTTTTAAACTTTCCTGTCATTCAGCTTAGTTTCACTCTGATTAGTTTTCCTCCTGTGGTCATCTATGCCCCACTTTCAGCAGCTCAGTGCCCCACATTTTGAAACCTGGCGTTCTATTGATCTTTGTAGAAAGTACAAAACAACTGCATATTTCCACTGTGGGGGAAGAAACCTCAGACTAATATCTCAAAGGCTGAACAATAACAGGCAAAGTCTGTAGAACCAAAAGTAGGGAAACTGAGCGCCTGTAACTTGAATAGGCATCATTTCTAAAAAGATAAACGGTGAAAAGAATCGCATTTGCTCCATTTCTCATACAGTGCTGTGCAAAAATCTTCAGCCACCCTTTATTTCTTTACATTTTTGCTCTCAAGGACTTTATTTTGTGGTCTCGAGCAATAGTTCTCCAGGGTTTCTGGAAGTCTTTCCATGTTTTTCTTTGGACATTGGGTTTTTTCCCCTCCAGTTCTAACGGGAAAAAACCCCCAAGTCAGTCTTGTGATTATTAGAGATTTATATTTCATGCATTCTTTCCAAAATACATTCTCACTACATTGTCTGAGTCCACAAACTTCTGTGCCTCAGTGAAACTCACAGCACCCTCTCAAACAAACTAAAACCATTAAACAAGACTACATTTTAACATTCATTCTCTGGTCATGGGGACATCAGATATGGGGGCTTATGGGAAATGCTGTTCATGTTTAACAGCCTTCCCAAATTCAAAGAGTCATATGACCAATGTTGCGAAAAGTTCCAAAAATGTGAAGGGTGCAGGAAAGCAGCCTGATCTGATCATGAATGCTGCAGTTTCCTGCTAAAACAGCTTCAAGAGCTGAGTCACACCCACTTCCTGCTGCACACAGCCCATGACAATAGACAGATGACACACACAAATATTTACACTCGCAAACACAGTAAACACACACATCCACATTTGGTATGCGTGTGTGCCCCAATTTTTGGCGAGTTATTGTAAAAGCCTCAACTTCCACCTCAGATGACACGCTCGATTTCTCAACCCCTGCACTTGTGAAACATTAAAAACTTGCAGGATCAACTCAAAAATTCATAATAGCCTGTTTTTCCCCCCTTTCTTAAAGAAGGGCTGAGTTCATTTCTTGGAAGGTTGACATAAAGTGAAGTCACTGCAGAGACTACAGAGTGGAAATAGGACAGTGAAAACCTGCTGCTCATTTGAGTCAGTCTTGACAAAAACTAGCGCCACGCCTGGTTTTCTGCAGCTCATTTTAGTGCATTGAAATCTGTCTTTGCCTCTAAAGCATCTCAGTAGCCGAGAGAAAGAGCAGATCTTCATCCATAATTCAGAGTCGTGTGAAAACAAAAGCACATCCTCTTAATTCTAAACTTTTCATAACAGGGGAGAAGCAAACCCAACCCCACTGACTCAGTAGCTTGTAGAACCAAAGCTAGCAGCTGTAGCTTGACAGTCATTTGCTGTATGACTTTCAGTCATCACAGCATTTCAGTCAGGTTGCAGTCTGAACTTTGACTTGGTCATTGTAAAACCTCGACTCTTTTCCTCTTTCAGACAGTTTGTTGCAGATTTGCTGCCATTCTTGAGATCGTCATGTTGCATGACTCGATTTGGGCCAAGCTTTGACTCTCAGACAGGTAGCTTCACATTCGACTAGAATATTTTGGTATACAGAAAAATTTGTGGTCACCTAAATGACTGCAAGCAACAAGCCCAAATTATCACCTCTACCACCATGCTTGACAGTTGTATGAGGTGTTTATGGTGATATGCTGTGATTGTTGGTCACCAAATGGGTCGCTGTATATTACACCCAACCTTGGTCTTGTCTGTACAAAAGGCATTATCCCAGAAGTCTTTGCAAATCTCAGCTGTGCTGAACAAGCCACACTTGCTCAGTCTTTTTCATAATTATACTGTCATCAAGTTTAACAATTACCATGCTAACTGAGGCTGGTAAAGTCTGAGATGCAGCCCACTCCCAGTTTCTCCAAGCAACGGTAAAGCGTGACCTTGGCGAGTTTGCTGGGACCTCCACTTTTGAGAAGAATTGTGGCATTGTGCTAACATGCACCTGAATGCTCAGACCAGCAAATTGCCAAAGACCGCTTCTGTATACTTTTAAACATGCAGAGCTCAGTGAAGTGAATGTGATTAGCAGCACCTGGCTGCTGCTGAGCCTGTAATTCTATGGAAGCAGTAAAGGTGTAGCTAGTTTTTC